AGGGGGCTAGCCAACCCCATATCTGATGACCTCCCTCCCCACCTCAGGCCAGATGGCAGAGCCAGGTCTTCATGTCCCTCCGAATATTCCAGTGAATGGTGATAATAGAAGAATTAGGGATGGGTTTGAGGAGAAATTATACAACATTATGAATAAATGTGGGATTTAGAAAGATACTTCATTCTAAAAGCATAACAGTTCTGATGGTTTATGATGAAAGATTGAGAGAATTAATGAAGAATACAAGGTTAATGAAAAGTTCTGAATGTGGAATAGACTATTTTTTGGTAGTTTCAAAAGAAGACCTTGGGAAAAATGGACATGAAAGAAAACGAAAGTGAAAGAAACAAGAGTAACAAGAAGTATAAATACAGGAAAAGAATGTTTGAGTTCAGTATGAAAAATATTGGAAGATCTGTCAATCACCCAACAGAGTGAATGGAAAGTAAAAATAAGAGAGGATGATGTGGAAGCTGCTTGGAAGAGAGTGAAAAAATTGTTACACTAATGGAAAGTATGCAAAAGTATGTTTGGTGGAAACTTCAGGGAGATAATGGATAAAAAAAAATGCACATAAGAAGATGATTATAGGACAAGAGAAGAATACAATATAATGAGTATAGAAAGAAAAAGATAATTGCAACGAATGTAGTCAGAGAAGAAAGAAATGGTTGAGATCAAAAGAAACAAGATGTAGAGTGATTTTGTTGGAAATAAAAATATTTTGGAAATTAATAAAAAGCAGTACACCAGAGTGAATAAAATTAAAAATAAAAGCAATGAAATGATCTGGAATGAAACTGAAGTAAGGGAATGCTGGAAGTATTTTAAAGATCTATATGGGAATGATGATATATCAAAGCATAAATCTAAAATGAATATTATGAACCTTATTTATTTTTATTCATAATAAATATATGTATACATAAATGGAATGCTGTAAATGTGTCTCCAAGAAAAGATGATAAAAAGGAAATCAAATACTGTTAAAATGTCAAACATTGGTAAGGCTGCAGATGTTTGCTATATAACTAGAGAAATATTTGGTTTGCTTATAGAATGGCAGTGCAACTTGTTGAATGTGTGTGAAGACTGCATCCATGCCTGATTATTGGAAGAATGTCATTATTGTTACCTTAAACAAAAGGAAAAATAGCAAGAGTGACTACTGACTGGGAAGGTGTTTGGCAGAACTCTGGCTAAAAGGGTGTAAGTGAGCAATTTTGGGGAAATAAAATGTAGTTTTATGCCTAACAGTGGATGTGCAGACTAGATTTTGACAGGTCATTGAGAAATAAATGAATGTGAAAAAAGAAAGTTTCTTGCATGTTTGTTAATTCAGAGAAAGCATATAATAGCATAAACGAGTGAATTATATAATGTTTTACGTGACTATAAAGATTAGTTGCTGAATGTCATAAGGTTGTTTTATGATGAAAGGAAAGCATGCATTAGAATATATGAGATATAGTAAATGGTTCAGTTGAGCAGGGAGAAACGCAATATCCCCTGGATTATCTTATATATTAATGGACAAATGTTCAAGGAGCACTTGTAGTGATGTTTGCTGTGTGTTTGTTGGTCAGGGACGTGATTGTGCATATATTTTACATGCAGCCAATATCTTGTTAGCTGAGAACTTGAATACAGGTAGTCCTCAAGTTACGATGGCAATTGGAACTGGAATTTCCCTTGCTAAGTGATACAGTAGTAAAGCACTACGTCATGCAACCGCACCACTTAGCAACAGCAATCCCTGCAGTCCCCATTGCCATCATTAAGTGTGGGTCATGGGTCATTAAGCGAGCACCTCCTCATAACTTCCTGCCAGCTTCCAACAATCAAAGTCAGTGGGAAAGCCAGCAGGAAGTTGCAAGTCTCAGATGACTCTCAAGCAGGTTGGCAGGCAGGTGAGTGGCTGCTGCCAGGTGGGAGAGGGAGCGAGGGGGTGTGCAGATGGCTGGGGAGGCATGGTATGAGCATGGCAGGTTTGGGGTGGCTGCTGCCAGGTGGGGGAGGGTGCACAAGTGGCCAGGGAGGTGTGGCGCAAGCACAGCAAGGCTCGCCAAGGATGCATGGGTGGCAGGGGAGGCATGGTGTGAGCATTATGGGGCTTGGGGTGGCTGTTGCTGGGTGTAGGAGGATGCATGAGAGTGCACGAGTGGTGGGGAGACGCGGTACAAGTACAGTGAGGTTTGGGGAAGGTGTGCAGGTGGCAGGGGAGGCGTGTGAATTCAGCAAGGCTCAAGGAGGATGTGCAAGGGTACATGGGTGGCAGGGAGGCACAGCGAGGCTTGGGGAGGATGTGCGGGTGGCGGGGAGGCGTGGCATAAGCTCAGGGAGGCTCAGGGAGGGTGTGCAGGTGGTGGTGGGAGTCACAGGTGGGGGAGACTTACCCAAGTGATTTGCGACCTTCCCTGCCGGCTTTCCCATTGAATTTGCTTGTGGGAAGCTAGCAGGGAAGGTCGCAAATCACGATCACATGACCACAGGACATTGTAACTATCACAGGTGCAAGCCAGTTGCCAAGTGCCCAGATTGCAATCATGTGATTGCAGGGGTGCTGGGACGGCTGGAACTTCAAGGAATGGTTGTAACCACCATTTGTTCAGTGCCGTCATAGCTTCATAACCAAAGACTACCTGTAATTAGCAGTGAATATTTGATAGACTGCATGATGTATTTAGGAGTATGGATTTGAACATTAATGTATCAAAGATAGGGAAATGGGATGAACAATTTCAAGTTATACATAAATTGTGAAAAAATAGTGCAAATAGGTGATATGTATCTTGGTTGAATGTTTACTGAAGATGGGAAAATGGATGGAGACATTTTAAGATGTAATTCTGGCAGAAAAGTACTGGGCAGTATGTAGACTGTTGTGAAGAATGAGTGTTGAAATACATGAAAATAACAGTGTATAAGGCTATGCTTCTGCATACTATGTTACATTAAAGTAAGATTTGGAATATATCAGGGGAATTATATAAAGTTTAATGCAGTGGGAATGGATTATTTAAATTGTATTGGTGGTAAAACAAGAGACAGGGTCAAGAATGAATTGATGAATTAATCCCAATTAAATATAAAAGTGAATGGCCAGTACAAAGGAAGTACATAGAGATGATTTGGTCATACAGGAAGAATAAATGGGGATCAAAGTGCACAAATATATGAAATGAGAGTAAATAGGTTGCAAAGAAAGAGAACTCTTTGTGGATGGAGGGAGTGGATGAGATTCTTAAAAAGAGAGAGGTGAAAAGTTTAAAAAACAGCTATTTATGGACATGCTAGAAGCACAGATAGTTTGCAAGGTTAAGAAAGATATGGAGCAATATAGTAAAAGGTGTTGGTTCTTTCTCTTCTCTTCTCTTCTCTTCTCTTCTCTTCTCTTCTCTTCTCTTCTCTTCTCTTCCTAGAGTTTTCCCCAGGTGCAGGATCTGCTTTTTCAGATCAACAAAATGTTGATCCATTGGTTACAACAGGAATTGACCGGCTTGTTGCTGGAGCTTGACGTTGTGGGCTGAGAAAGTGACTGGCCCAAAGTCACCAGCTGGCTTTTGTGCCTAAAGTGGGACTAGAACTCACAGTCTCCTGGTTTCTAGCCGCGAGCCTTAACCACTAGACCAAACTGGCTCTCTTCCTTTTCTTTTTTATTTCTCCTTTAATTTCTTTTCCTCAGAACATCTCATTCGATTCTATGTTTTACATAATATTACTTACTCCTGAAGGTAATAACGAGATACACACATACATATGAATGTATTGATTATAATAATTAGCTCAGACAAGAAAAATAGATTGTACCTTCTTTTATAGCCTCTGTTCTATATAGTTATGAGTCTGTGAAGTTAAGTGGGTTGATAAATTTTCCCCTCAAGTTGCATCAGAATATCAGAAATACGTTTAAAATACACATTTTCATTACTTCAATGTTATAAAACTGACATTAGATCTGCAAAGACATTAAAAGTGAAAAACTTCAGTGCTAAATTTATGTTTCACAGGCAATTCTTCACAGCTAAAATCTTTGCTAAATTACTTCATAATGATCCTTATGGAAGAATATCTATCATGCAGTTTTTCAATTATGTAATGAGAAAAGGTGAGTCTTTTTAACCTATTATAACAAGATCTGTAATAATACAGATTATATTACTAGATCCCATAAAGTAGAAGTGGGTTGGGGGTTGGGTCTGCATTCTATGTTTTAAACTGTATTGAGAACCGTATTCCTAGAAATGGGTATAAGTTGGGTGCATAGACCAAAATGAGTGATAATCAGTATTGCTTTGATATTCTGTCCATGTTTTTCTCTCTTAATCTAATATTATGTAATATTAAGTTTATCATCATAATAATCACATCATCATTATCTTGAGTTACTTCATTTATTATCACTGTTAACTCAATACTATTATTCATTCACTATGTTGTTATAGTAGCAAATTATAATGACTATTATTCACATTTTCACTATCATTTTTATTCTTTCTAATCCGATGGAATGTTGGAAAAAATATGGAAATAGTAATAATAACTGATGATGATGATAATGATAATAATGATGATGACAACAGAAGCCAGCAAAGGAAAGATCAAATTTGAAAATGTTTGGATATGTGTAGGGGCTGCAAAGGAAAAATTCCAGAAAAAAATGTGTCCCTCTGAGAGAGGCAGTTGGACAGCTGCTTAGAATAGTCCATTCTAAGCCTCCCCCTTCCTGTTCACGTGACTCAGAGCAGAGCATATGTAGCCTATCCTTTGCTTCCCGGTAACTTACATGCAAACACATTCAGATCCAGCACAAGGAGATGGCAGAAACCCACCAACAAACACAACCCAGCTGTGGTTTCTTTTTATCTTGCCAGAAAATGTTTGTGTGCCAGTGAGTTTCAAGCACCAAATAATTAAGTCTGCTTCTTTCAGCTGTTTCATGCTTTTTTCCCCCTACCCAATGGGCTAGGATTAGAATTATCAACCAATGGTTGACAGTTACCTCTGCAAATGTGCCAGAATCACAACAATGACATTGCACCAATCAGCTATGTCCGTGATGGGTGAAAAAATTCAGACATGAGATTTAAACACTAGGGCAGACAAAAAGGAACAAGAGCCACAAAACATTATTTTATTGCACAGAAAATGCCTCTTATGGCCCCTAGTAATGAAAGGGTTGGAAGCCCTGCATGCTTTTCTTATCCTATACATCTTCCAGGGAGGAGAGTAATACTTCATGTAGGACTAATTTTTTGTTCACATATTGAGTTAAATTATGGCTTGTTTAACTGTGGTTTGTTGTATAGATGTAAGCTAATTTGTGAACCCAGCCAGGGTATCCAAAGATCTTAAAAAAAATAAAATAAAGCATCTTGCTTTTGGCAGAGTCTTTTGAGTAAGTTGGATATCTTAAGGTATGGCAGGGTGGTCATCAATCCTGCCTAACAGTTAAGCAAGGCAGAGATCATAGTGGATCTCAGGAGATTTGTCGTTTGAAATATAAGAATGCCAGGTAACATACAGTATCTCTGCAGCTTTATATACATATGGTATTTGAAGTTGTAGAATTTGCTTTAAGATATTTTAGAATTTTTATTTGTAATTAATTTAAATAGGAAGTATTATCAGGTTGTCTGTGTTGGAATGCTTATGAATATCAATATATTTCTAATGTTCTTTCAATTTGTTACTATACCTTATTTTACTTGTCTGGAAATCCATTGGGTATTTTTTTAATCTGCTTCACAGTATGGCTGTACCAGACAAGAATAGGCCTAAGTTTATATGATGTGGCTGGACAAGGTTACCTCAGAGAATCAGTAAGTGAGGAATAATAATAATGTGATATGTTTATCTAGTGTAACTGAAATTATTTCTGTTGTCTTTATCTTCATTCAAAAAGAGCCAGCTCAAGGGAACATATTTAAATCAGCTGTTTATATATAATCAAAAAGATTTCAAGTAAGCCACCAAGAATGCTGTAAGGTTTGCGACAGAGTACAAATTTGATTAATAAATTAAACAAATCACATTTTACTATAATTGTTTATGGGGACAGTATTGTTCATGTAGCATTAATTAATTATGGACTGATGTCTGTAATAAGTAACCCCTCTGCATTCCAAGGAATCTTGACTGAGGAGTTAACTTAGTTTCTTTGAACTAAACAGGATAATACTGTGATACAGCTCTGGCAAACACAGTCCTGTACTGCCAGGTATTTTTGACAATTACACCTCTCCATGAATTGTGCATGCATCAGAGAACGGATACATAGCGTCTGTGCATTACATGACTTGCAGGGTCAGTAGAGGACCGTATAGAGTTGTTGCTATTCCTTTTTTGCATCCAAATAAAGAAAGCACCCAGAGGAAAAAAAATGTCCAATTTGTTCTCTCTATAAACTACAGGATAAATGTAAAAAGCTTCATATTCAATCATAATGACATCTGTGGTATAAATATACATTCTCTTGTTTAATTTTCTAGGATTTAGAAAATTATATATTGGAACTCATTCCCACGTTGCCACAGCTGGATGGTTTAGAAAAATCGTTTTACTCATTTTATGTATGCACTGCAGTCAGAAAATTCTTCTTCTTTTTAGATCCTCTCAGAACTGGTAGGTTTAAACTAACCCTCTTTTTTAATTTGAATCCAAACTATACAAATACATACCTGTTTTGAATATGTTAATATGTTATGCTTTGGTATGATCCGGTCTCCTTCTTTTCTTATATAGCCATCAAGCAATGATCAAAAGGTTTTGTTTTGGGTTAACAACAGTTCAGTTATTAATTTTAACTATAACTTAGTGAATAATACTAGTTTGAAACTATCTTGCTTTAGTAAATCATAATTACTAAAACTATGAAGACTTAACTTAGTTTCTCAAGATAAGGCATTATGCTATTTAGTAAAAATTGGAAACATAAGCTTCCAGTTTTTCTTGGATGTATTAATGATAGTGAGTTCCTGATGAGATGAAGGCTTGCCCATAAATCTGGAAAACCATGTCATTTGTAGAAAGAAAGACTTTGTACCAACATAGTTTTTGACTGAAGCTTTCAGTGAGGAAGGGGTTTCTTTTAGTTAATTTGTCATGTATGTTTTTGCTCTGACACATTTTGTAGCAATATAATAGCTAAATCTTCATTGTCAGTTGGCTTGTTTGATTTATGTGGAGCACAATGACCACCGTGCTGCTTTTTCCTATGTTGAAGCTATCATCTACTGACAGATGAAAAGTTAAAGGTATTTTCTTATTCACATTTTCCTATCACCTTTGAGATGGCAAATTAGAAGGCGATGATGATGCTTGTGGGAAATAGTTGCACTATTGTGGCTTCAGTACAGATATTTACAAGAACTTTGAGATGACACCCAACCCCCCCCCCTTGATTTCACCATTCGCTACCACACCAGCAGTCGTTCCACTTAGGAATAAGCTCTGCGTGCAGAGCTTTATCTCTTACTGAAGTAAATTAAGAAGCACTTACTTGGATGGGAATTGACTGGTTTAGGTTACTCTGGCATAAACAGCATTTATAACTAACAATGGAATAAACTCTATATTCAAGACAGTTCCTTCACCTTTGATACCCGTCTGCAGTAGTCCTGACTCTGTGGATATTTGTAATACATGAGATTGTAGTTGTTATGTTAATCCTCCAGAATAGGTCTAGTTGGCAACTTTGTCCTGATTACAGCAGCAATTCTGACTTTTCCACAATGTAACCATGGGTGTTCCCCATTCTGTTCTCCTTGGGAAATAAGGAAGCTGCATCACAATTGGGTAGACATTTAATATTTTTCCTTCACAGAAATCTGTTGGTGAATGGAATTATTTCCCCCCTACTTACTGTATTACAGGAACACTAGAGAGTGCTTTGTCTGAAAGGCAGCAGACACATTTTGAAAAAATAAACAGCTAAATAAATTTCACCAATATTAGGGGATCTTAGCAATGAAAACAACATAATATATGAACGTGACATGAACATTTTTCTTTCTTGTTAAAAATAAATATTTTTTGGTAAAAGTAATACATAGAATTATCCTCCTGTTACCTTTTTAATCAATTGTTTAATCCATTAATTGTGTTAATGTTTTTATTTATTTATAAAATTAATTTTAAAAGATCTCTGATTTTCCCTAACGTGGGCTGATGGAAGGTCAAAATTTAGGTTGGCTTCTTTTGAACTTCTTTCAGCATAACCTGGGTGTTATCTTGCTTAAACCTAAGAATATCACAATCATTAACTAGTGAAAGAAGCATTATTTTTTCTTTTCCAGGGAAGATAAAAATACAGGATATTTTAGCCTGCAGCTTCCTAGATGACTTACTAGAGGTAGATATTTTTAAGATACACTTTTGACTTTTGAGTTTGTTCTTTACATTTGTTGATAGCTAACTTAATATTTCCTTATCCATTCAGTTGCGTGATGAAGAACTTTCTAAAGAAAGTCAAGAAACAAATTGGTTTTCTGCTCCTTCTGCTTTGAGGGTTTATGGTATGTTGCATGGGTAAATAGTTTTGGACTGAATTTTCTGCAGGATTTTTGTTGTTAATTGATCTATGATTTCCCTTTACATGGCACAAAGAGGGGGCACATAAATTACTAAGTTTACATCAGAATTAATGGAAGTTATAGTAGCAGAGCCTAGAAGGTGAGGTAAGATGGGCGGTTTCATCCATTTCAGAAGTCCTGGTTTTTTACAGACTTTTGTGCCTTGCTCAGTATTCTGTTACCACCATTAATCGCCTGGGATGATTCCTATCCCGGGATCTTCTCTCTTAGTTCCAACATGTAGGAAAGATAAGTTTCTCAGAGCCTATGGCCTTACCCACCAATATATAAAGGAGTGGTGGTGGTGGTGGTGGTGGTGATGATGATGATGATGATGGTGATAATGCAAAAAGAAGAAAAAATCTTATAGGTTTGAAGCACTTACAATGGTGAAACAGACCTCCCTCCTTTGAGCAGTTAGATTAGTAGCCCAAGATATATTTTAAAATCAACTTTATTAAAAATAAGGAAAATGTAAAGTTCCTTTTTTGTCTTTAGAGTCATATGCAAAAAACAATTAATGGGGAGTGAAATAAAAATATAAATTGCTGCTAAAATCACAAACAGCATCTTATAGAAAATTTCTTCCAGACAAATTCAGTAAATTATACAAGATGCTGGGCAGATGACAAAATGGGGACATGGTGCAACTTGAAACAGCAATACACAAGGACAAAGCTTGTATAGAGACAATACATCAGAGACCATAA